GCCCTTGGCATCTATTTGCATATCCTCCAAGACAAGCTTCACAGCCGCGTCGATCCCACGCTTCAGGTCCATGGGGTTCATGCCTGCAACCACCTCACGGCAAAAAACCACCTGCTCGAACACTGCCTCACTCTCTCTCGCCCCCTTCGGTCTTTGACAGCATGGCAATGATAGATGAATTGATATCTTATGCAGTGTAGCAAATTCTTATCAAACCATGCATGCCGCAACTGCATGTTGCACTTTTGGCATGGCACGTGCAGGCTCAAGGGCCTTGAGGTTAAATGAAGTGGAGTGTCATACAGTACACTTCTTGGGCTCAGGGTCCGACAGCCTTGGTACCTTCGCCTTTGATCGCTTGGACAGGGCCAACATCTGAATCTGGTAGTCCAACATCAGGTACAAGATGGCAGCCTCTAAATCCTAGCCAAGTAACGAAAAATAGCTCTGGCCAGCACGGTCGAGGTAGTGGTGCCATCGCCAGCCACGTCATTTGTCTTTGAAGCCACCTACTTGGGACAGTTTCTGAACAAGCATTCACCACCTGCTCGCACGCTCTCCATGGCCTGCTTGATCAGAGCTGCGCCAAGATTGTCCTGCCTTGCATTGGGAACCCTCATTGCGGACGCAATCTGAGCAGCTTTAGCTTGAGAAGCTGTGAGAGATGAACAAGGCACAAGCTTTTGATACATACTTATTTTCTACGTTGCCAACCCAACCGAATACGCGCGAGTTTGGACACGCAGGCTTCATCCAATCTCTCACCTCTCTGGGGGCTAGGCTTGTTCTTGAACTCAATTGCTTTGGCCACTGTCACGCCGTCCTTCCGACTCTACACTTGGATGGCTTGTGTGAGCATGGCAAGGCAGTGGGCTGTATGCTTCTTGTCTGCTTGTGGGCCAGAACAAAGTACAAGGGCATGCTGACCGATGTGCAGAACTCCGGGATGTTATTCTGACGTAGCCGAAACCCTCCACACAGCTCGCCCAGGCTAATCTATATAGTGCGCTTTCCTAGGCGCCCGCCCATGGCATCTTAGGGTCCCGGTTGCACTATGGGACCAGCGACTGCTGCAAGAGGAAACCATAACACACACTGAATATGAAAAGGCGAGTCACAAATCAATGATGAAGCATGCCGCAACATTGGCAAATGCCTGCGGGTGTCCTTGGTGACCTTTGGTGCTCCGAAGCTTTGCTCAATGACCACGTTTCGGCCCTTGGGGCCCAGTGTCACTGCAACGGCATCTGCCAGGCGATTGGCACCTCAGCTCATCGTCTTCCGCTCTATGCAGCTTCTGCCCTTGGGTATTGCACCGTTCAGCATCGCAGCACGGGCGCCCGCCCCATGACCTCAAACACAACGCAAAGCTGGCAGCCCAGTATGCACACCACAGCAAGAAGCATGCACATCACATGACCTCAAGGAATATACACACCTGTGAGGCCGCAGATCAACACATTCACAGTTGCCCTGGAGCTGTTTGGATGCAAATCCGTCCTTGAAGCACTCCTGAGACCAGCCCCAGAATACTTCCAAAAAATGCCCCCTATTCAGGCCCAATCCGGCCCGCTCGCTACGGGCTGCGTGGTGTTGCATAGTAGCATAGCATGATGTGTGGCGTAGGCTCACAGTGTGGCGTAGCTGCTGTGGCCCACTGTGGCATCGTACAGTTTAGTTTGGTGTGCGGAGGGGTCGGCTGGACGATGTTGTCCGCCGTTAGGTGGTGACGTTGATTCCCATATGGCAAGTCTAGCGCATCGTGTCACGCGGAGTTGCTTTGTGTGATATATGGGCATGCGCTCTTAGCTTGCGTCATTAACTCAAAGGCATCGTTGAGAGCCCCGTTCCCAGACATGCTCTTGGAGCACTGGAAAGGTTTGCATGGCTAAACGAAGAGACATGACACAACCGCAAGCAGCTCTAGGCAGCTCATGAGGTACGGTGAATTGCGAGGTTTCCCATCAGGTGCCCGACCCTGCCTGATTTGGCCTGACAAGCCGATGATGTACGGACTGCTTGCGGCGGTACATGACACGCAACGACGATGGGGTACCTTGCAAGTAGTGCGTAGCGAGCCAGCATTGTGCAAAGTGACGCGCCAGTCTGGCCAGAATGTCCTTTTGGCGTGCCGTGGAGAAGTTGGTGCAACGTGCCATCCAAGATGGCCTCGATGTGTATATATCTATATGTACACATAGTTCATCACATTTCGACGTTTGATGTGTGCAGTGCCTTCACTCCAATGTCAAATGTGCTCTTTGCTGATTGCCTCAGGCCCCATGCTTCCAGAAACCAAGCTGAAAGACACAGAAGGGGTACAGCGCGGGAGCCCACACAACCGGGGCAAGCCGCGCTCCTCCTCGTTTGGTTGCCGCTTAACGGCGGCCTCCATCTGCCCACCAGCAAAATCCCTTCTGAGTGGGTCCCTACGATCATCTGAGAATCCCAGTTGTGGCGCTAGGAGGGCAAACCATAGCCTACAGTCTTGTTCACTGGGGTTTGGCCGACTGCCTACTTGTTGGCGAAAGCCGAAGCACACCAATGACAGGTTCACAGAGCAGAGCCGCTTTACCTATCGAGTATACAAGCTACCCTGGAAGAGGCAGATATCGAATGCAAATCCCCCCCCTTCCCAACGTGGGCCGGTGCCGTTGCCAGCTTCCAGGCCAGGCCGCTAGGCCGCAGGCCGTCGCATGCACCGCACACACGACATATGAGCTCAAATGCCCTGGTCTGAGGGGATCACGGATTTCTTTTGCAGCAAAATGGCGTACGCCCCGGGCAACTGGCCTCAGCAATACTTTTTGTGAAACTGCAGAAGATCCTCATCTTGCTGGCGTCCTTTTGCCTTCTGAAACTTCACAATGAAGGGCAGGACGCGGCGGCTCGAAATTTCGACAGCATCTTGAGGAGGCGAACCTCACAGCGACGGGCTGAGGGGCCGTGTGTTTCTGCCGGCCTTCGCCCACGATAAATCAGATTAGCATGGAGTCCCAAAACCACAGTTAGAGGAAACTCCTTTGGGGACCCCCTGTTTGGGTTCCGCATTGATGGGGGATCAGTGGCTGCTACATCTGGGCAGCGCGCGGTGCACGGCCAAAGGGTCAAAACTTGAGCCAAGCAGCGGACATAGTGTTTGAACTCTCGGTGGCGTGTGTGTTCGTGCTTTGCACTTTGTGAAGTCAGTAATGGTTTGCAACTGGCAGGGCCACGGGGTCAGCTTGCAAGAAACCAGTCTCGCCTATGGAGTGCACATTCGGCGTCCCTGCGGTCCTATGCTCTTTAAGCTGTGGTTTGCTTCTCGGCCTCCCGCTTGGAGCTAGCCTCACGCCACAAAAATCGAAAGGGGCCACGTGCTGTCTACACAGTGCGATTCTGGGCTGCGAGCAGCTTGGTCCTTCTTTCTCGCAGGCGCCATAGTAACATACGCCTGCACTGGCCGAGGCCGCATCTTGCGCAGGGAAGCAAAATCCGGATGGAGGCCGCCAAGATATGGGGGGGGGGGTCCCCATTGTGTGTGGGGGGGGGGGGGGGTGGGGGGGGGGGGGGGGGGGGGGGGGGGGGGGGGGGGGGGGGGGGGGGGGGGGGGGGGCCCCCCCCCCCCCCCCCCCCCACCCCCCCCCCCCCGCCAAGAATGAGGCTTGGGCACCGAGCGCCCCCCAACAAACTTCGAGCATACCTCCACTGGCCTTGCCCATATCATTGAGAGGACGGTCATGAATGGCTTCGTTGAAGGCATAGACCGGTGTGCGGGTGGTGACGTGCTTTAAGAAAGCCTTGGATTCTCAGATACGCCCCATGGCAGGTTCATCTGGCACAGCCCTGGGTCAGGCTTGCCATGTCTCGCCACTCTAAGCCTGCCGCCGGCTCATCGGGGACTGTCGGTGTCACCTGCTCACAAGGTCACATCCACAGGCGCTGCGGTAAGTCCAGAATTGGCTTTGGCAGAGGCACGGGCCCCTCAACTCAAGACGCGCAAGGCCTTCTTTTTGATGAACTGCGTGGCGTTTGCTCGCTCTCGTTCAGCCATGATCTCGGAGTACCTGGCATCAGATGCTGCGAAGGAAGGACCGGAGACTTTTGGGTGGCCTTCGGTACATCGGTCCAAGATACCATTCGAACTGAGGTAAGCCTTGGTCACGGAATCTGCAGTCACACAAGACTCTGGACAACATGGGGCCAGCGCGCAGACGGCACGCAGGCACTTTCGAAAACTTTCCTGTTCCTTCTCAGCGCAATGGGATGCCAGCTGAATCCAAGGCCACCAAACTTGAACATCGCGAGCCTTCGAGCCGCATCGTTGAGGGGGCCTCGCACACACTGCCGCACGCCGTGGAAACCCGCACCACACCAAATGACGAAACGATATCAGCATTCGGCCCAAAGCCCACAGGCCCCTGACGGAAGGAACGATGGGAGTCACCGGGGTCGTCATGTGTGGCCTCAATCTTCAGCTTGCAGGTTGTCGTCTTTCAAGTAAGGCAAAAGCAGCTGGCTTGCCCACCCCCCCAAAAAAAATAAAAAATGAAAGGAACCTGCGGCATCATGCAACAAGACGTGCGGCCAAGACTGCGGCCGTCGATGGAAAGGTGCTGCGGGTGGGTCTTGTGCCTCTAATTGCGCGTGGCAAGCCCCCTGCGAGCCAAACCACACAAGTACGAATTCCTGCATGATCTTTTCGATGGCGCTTCATCTGCCAAGCCTACAGCTATGAGAGGCCAACGCGGCCGACCTGCAAACAAACATGTCCTGCGACAACTGGCAATCTGACTCACAGCAAACCCAACAAAAAACAAGATAGGGGGGGGGAACGCCAAAGCGTGATGGATGTGGTGAAGAGCTGCCCTGGCACAGAGCTCAATTCCCAAAAGCAAGGCAACTAAAAGTCGAAATGTGCAACCAGCGTTGCCGGTCAAGCTCCTTTTTTTCAGTGCAGTCTGTCTACAAGCGGCCCACTGTCCACAAGCTCATCCATCATTGAAACACCGGTCAGACCAGACTCAATCTCCTCGCAGGCACTTGACATGCCCGCTTCCCTCTTGAGAGATGCCAGCAGGCTCTCAAATTCCTGGGCGGCCAACGCATGCACAATGCAAGGTCTACAACCACTTCAGCCACTGCATCGTGCAACTTGCCATCAGGGAGCATCATTGGATTGTTCCATCAGAGCAGATCTTGACAAAGCCGGCGCTTCCGGTGAAGTGTCGTCTGATTGCTGCTGCTTGATTTTCCGTCTCTCCCTCCTTAGTCGCACGGAAAGTTCAAGGCATCCAGTGCTCAACATCTTCGCAACGTGGCTCGCATGCATATCATGCGCACCCGCTTGGCGTGCATGGATTGGTAAGGGCTGCGCGAACCAGACGCACTGCAGAGTGCATAGATGTCAGTTGTGGGCATAGGGGAATGGAGGCCGCAACGGCGAGAGCTGGCTGGACTTTTTGGTGCGCACGTTTTTAGCCGTTCCAAGGACCCCAAGGAGCAAGCCACGGGACAATGCCACCGAACCCGCCCTCTGCCAGCACAGTCCAGCTGGGAAGTTGTTAGCGTGTCTTTCACTTTCTCTTTCTTTTTCGTTCTCTCTTTCTCGTTCTCGTTCTCTCTGTCTTTCTCTCTCTCTCTCTCTCGTCGCAAACACAAACATGCATTCTTGTTACGTCCGACCCACCCAAAAGTGCGCAGGGGATTCACCGATTACGCTGTGACCCAAGCACTTGTGCTCTTTTCTGCAATGATGTGACACACAGTGGCCCAGCTGGCCTACCAGCACAGGCCAGCCAGCTGGGCCAGAACAGCAGCCCCCAGGCTGAACAGGCACTTGGGCCCGGCTTCCAATAAGCCAATCACAGGGAGGGTGCGTGGGAGCAAAACGCTACACAGCTCAACCAACCCAGGGGGCAACCCCTTTCCTAACAAGTTGAGCTGGACAAGCTCTGAGATGAAAGATGCGTTGGGACAAGCTCTGAGATGCAAGATGCATTGGGATCAGCAGGGCTCGATGCTTGCCAGCTGATGCAGTCAAGGCAGCTCAACCATGTGACCCAAGCACTTGTGCTCTTTGCCATGATGTGATACACATTGGCCCAGCCGGCCTACCAACACAGGCCAGCCAGCTGGGCCAGCACAGCAGCCCCACCAAAGGGTGTCGCGCAGCATTGCGGGAGCTCAGCAAGCCTCAGAATCGCCCAGCCGCAGGGCTGAGGTCCAAGGAGCTTGCAACACATCCAGCACATCAAGCACCTCCTGATTCTCGGCGCTGAACCCGGCCGGCACGCGATCGTGGGTGCTGAGGGCATCAGCCCACACGTTACGCTCTCCGGCCACGTGACTGCAAGTGAGGCAAATTTTTAACCTACAGCAAAGAAACCCTAGCGCCTGGAGCACGTAGCAAAACTCTACCACAGCTCAACCAACCCAGGGGGCAACCCCTTTCCTAACAAGTTGAGCTGGACAAGCTCTGAGATGCAAGTTGCATTGGGACAAGCTCTGAGATGCAAGATGCATTGACATCAGCAGGGTTCGATGCTTGCCAGCTGATGCAGTCAAGGCAGCTCAAGGCTGCGAAGCAGTGCGCGCGGCCGTGCTGATGCGCCTGTCGCCGCACCCGCTCCGAGACGGCTCCGAGACCACCTCCGTCAGGCGTCGCAATTTCATCCAGGCTTGAAGATCACGCACAGGCGCACGCATTCTTAGAGGGAGCTCGCTCAATTGGTTCCAGTACCACGGAAGTTCTTGTTAACCGTCCTTTGATCATTTTGCATGTCAGTGACTTCAGAAGACCTTCCCAATGTGAAACTAGAAACAAAATACATGACTGTCTGCGATCCAATGTCTGCTTCTTCTTCCGAGACTTCTGCTGCTCCACATGGGCAGCCTCAGTGCAGAGTCGTGCCAGCTTGAATTGAATTGTCGTGAACCCCTCCGTCCCTGACATGACATCGGCATGTCTCAAAACGCCATAACCTTGAAACGGGCCCCCTCAAAAAAAGACACCCACATGTCAAGAAAACCGCATTTCCTCACCCAAGGCACATGGGCTTGCCTCTCGGCTTCCGAAGCAAGGGGTTTCTCCACTGCTTTCTTAACGTTGTCGTCTGTGGCCCAGCGGTCGACTTCCTGCACGGGCTTCCAGGCATCACACAAATGGGTGTGTCGCTTTTTGTTTGGGGGGCCCGAACAAACTGTGGTCTTCCGATTGTTGCCCCTCTCAGACAAAACTCATAGCCCAAATCTTACCTTTTGCACTGCGCAACTTCACAGCGCCGCTGCATGCGGTCAATCAAGCGGTTGTGATCGCACCTTGTAGTGAGGCGACCACTTCTGAATGCCGATGATTGGCATTGCCGGGGCAATGCCGTAGATCAGAAACACCAGCTCCGACATTGGCATATAGCCCGTAGTGTACTTCTTCAGCATGTCGCCCTTAAGCTTCAGCTTATCAATGTCGTGCTGCCTATTTCTCGTAACGCCTCAGGTGCGCCAAAATGTTCACAGAGAGCGCCCAGTTGATGGCCATGGTCATACGGACAAGGCGCGGCTCAGGTTTTCGAACCACCACTTAAACCGGGTGCGCTGTTCCTCTGGCAGCTTGCTTTTGTCTTCCCTGCAAGCTGTGGATGAACAACGCCGGAAAAGCACGCAACGCCCCAGGCCTGCCAACTCCAGAGGAGGAGAGCTGTATCCATATCCAGCCTCTTCCAAGTGAGCGGAACAGAGCTGCCCGCGACTCCGTCATGATGATCCTAGGCTTCTGGGGTTAGGGAAAGAGGTTGCGCCCGTCAGGCGCTTTGTACCCTCACGCGCCGACTGTTCTCCTAGCACCTTGTTCCGCACAATTGCACGCAGCACGACTTGGGGACTTTACAACTAAATCTCCTCCTTGTCCAAGCCGCTGCTTCGATATCCAATGGAACAGTACGCTCATGGCATCGTCGATCCAGGCATTGACTGCATCCTCATCACATCGACAGCTCCTGCTTCGACCAAATACTTCCTTGGCAAGACAGGCCCTCAACCAAAACACAAATTCAGGCGCCTAGGGACTTGGCCCTAGGCACGAATTGGCACTCTGCCCGTATTCAACATGCTTGTGCAGTTGAAGTACCCTCATCTGCGCGTTGAAGTTTATCCAGCGCGCTTCAGTGGACGAAAAGGCAATCCAGTCCGGATCCGGGCCTCAGAAACCCAGACTCGGACAAAGTGGGAATCAAACGCGATGGGCCTCGCCATGCCCCCCCTCCCCCCCCCGGCCCAATTTTCCCCAGTTCTGCTGCGGAAGGGCGGTGTCCTAAGCCCAACCCCCAGACCAGTCCGAAAAAACAACGAGAAAATCGAAGCCAGCAAGGAAAAAGTTGCGAGATGGAGGCGTTACCCGACTTGCAGAATGGCAAGTTCCTTTCTGCAAGTCGACCCTTGGATGCCAAGTTGCGCATAATCTGCTTGAGGCGAACTATGTCGTCCCGGTCCTGCTCTAAGGACGGCTTTTCTTCCACTGCCTCCTCCATTGGGCGATCAAAATGGCTTCAGGTCCAAGGCTGCTTGTCATGCGCTTGCTTGCTCACTGGCTGGCGTTCCTGCGTGCGCGCAGTTTTGCAGTGGCACCTTGGGCTTTGATGAAGTTGTTTGTGTGGGCTCGCAAAACAATGTAAGCAATGAAACATGCGAACTTGGGCAGAACACTGCTGGGCCTTACGAACAAGTTGTTGACACTTCCGCGATCAGATGCGAGTCCGACGCGGCTTTGAGCATGTTCTCTGAGCTGGCAACAGCTGCAGAAAATATGCATGCATTCGTATGTTCAATTGAAGCAGTGTGCTGCAAGACTCCTTCCCTATTCTTCTGCCCGCCGGTCTCAAGTCTTCTAAGAGTTGCCGAGCACTTTTTGCTAACGCCCATGAAAGACCCACAGCTCGCTTTGAGCTGCGACCCGCACCGTTGGCACTTCAAATAATTAGTGCATGGGTGATCCCAACTCCCAAAATCCAATCCAAGAAAAATGGTTTTCGTGAATACCCGCTGTCCAACTGATCCTGGGAGTCAACGTAATCACAGCGCCAGTTGACTGGTGTCACACAGCTGCTGAAAATGCTGAACTAAGAGAATTCAATCGCTACCTCACCTTGCCAACAGCCCCAACGGCAAAGGCAACGCGATCCACCAATTCATCTTTCGACCCTGTTGTAGGCCATCCTTGCGACCGCAACCAAGTGCCAAGCAAAGCCTTGCCCTGCTTGCGCAGCCACGTGCATAGTTGGTTACCGCCTTCACGGGCCAAGGAATGAGCGGTTGCCTCGAATTCCCTGCATTCGCGGGATGAGGCGGAAGGCACACTGGGGTTTGCTCGTTTTCCGGGCTTTTCGTCTTTGCTGCTTCTGGGAGCGGTGGTTTTTTCATCCACCTTGAGGCTTCTGGGAGCACTAGCTGAGCTGCGAAGGGACAACTGAAGCGTACACCACGCTGATTGACCTGCTTCATTTTCAGCCGCCACCTGAACAACTGCAGTGGCTTGCTGAAAGAAGCTGGGCAGTTTGGAGAGCTCCTCCTCTGCCAGGACATAGGTGGCCAGCTCGTCCAAAGACGTGAAGCGCTTCAAGCTCTCGTTGTACTCGGGCTCCAGGACGGTGATGGTCAGCGCCTGGCCATAGGCCGGGTCCAAGGCCGCCACCAGGTACCGCCGCACGGGGCAGCTGCGGCTCTCCTCCGGCGCCCGCCAGTCCAGCCGAATCCTCCGCTGGCCCACGGCGGCGCAGAGCACCGTGGCGGCGAGCCGCGTCGGCGCCTGGGGCGCCCGGAGCCGTGAGAAGGCGCGCTCGCACGAGGCCTTGGCCTCCCGCAGCAGCTCCATGGCCTCCGTGGCCTCGCGGTTCACGCCAATGCGGTCGGGGTGCAGCTTCCGCATGAGCGAGCGGAACGCCTGCTGGACCTGGGAGACCTCGTGCGCATCGGGCCCTAAACCAAGGACGGCCTTGGCACGCATGATCTCGGAGCAAAATCTCTTCCGGCGCAGTGGGAGTATTCGCGCAACCTCTTCGCATGCGGCTTCTTCTCTGGATTGCCGCGCTGCATCCTGAGCTGTGGGCATCCAGAGCTTCAGCTTCGCAAAACGAAACTGGGCTGTACTTACATGCACACACACACAGAGACACACACACACACAGACACACAGACACACAGACACACAGACACACAGACACACAGACACACAGACACACAGCCACACAGACACACAGACACACAGACACACAGACACACAGACACACAGACACACAGACACACAGACACACAGACACACAGACACACAGACTCACAGACACACAGACACACAGACACACAGACACACAGACACACAGACACACAGACACACAGACACACAGACACACAGACACACAGACACACAGACACACAGACACACAGACACACAGACACACAGACACACAGACACACAGACACACAGACACACCAACACACAGACACACAGACACACAGACACACAGACACACAGACACACAGACACACAGACACACAGACACACAGACACACAGACACACACAAAACAAATCAACACAAACAAACACAACACACACACAACACAAAACACACACCAACACACACAACACGCACACACACACAAACACACAACCACACACACACACAAAACGCCCACACACACACAAACACCACACACACCCAAACCCCCCACAAATACACAAAAAACACAAAAACCTACACAACTCCAATACACACAAACACACAAAACACAAAAAACCACAACCTCACAAACTCACAAAAGCACACAAACACACAAACCACACAAAACACAACAAACACACAAACACACATACACATCACAACACACAGACACAACAGGACACACAAAAACACAAAACCACACAAACACACAAACACACAACACACAAACACACAAAACACACATAACACACACACTTAAACTCCAGATGGAGAGTGCTAATCTTTCGAGTACAACTGATGAGTCTCGAGTACAACTGATGAGTCTCGAGTGGGTGTGGGTTCAGCTCGCAATGCACTCGGTTTTACTCTAGTGTCGAAAACGTTACCAGTTCCAACATGAAGCACACACAGCGAGCGAAAAGAGAGGGCCAAAAGGACTTTCATCAACATCACTTCACAAACGCAGGTACACACGGGTGATCAATCCGTGCATCCACCATCAAGCATAGCTTCGTTGGCCAGCGTTTGCTTGATGGCCGCTGGCCCCCTGCTGAGAAACCGAAAGGGTGGTGACAGGGCATTCTGTCACTCCGCACACACACGCCCCTCAATGAGGGGCGAGGAGTCTCCTTTTCCGCAGGAAGATCACATGCTCAACCCCGTGTCCCTATCGTTGACCAAAAAATCCACCGCGGCGAGGGGAACGAGAAACAGCCCTAAACCGCTCAGAAGACGGGAACGAGAGATCACCACGTTGAGCATTACGAGTGTCGCCATAGAGGACTGAAGCGAGTTGTGAAGCAGTCGAGCGATCACCATGAGAAAACGGAGTAGCATAGGTGAACGTCTCCTCAACTGGAATGGCATCGGAATTCCGAACTTCACCAAGAGATTGATCATGCGAATGATGAGTTGTGAAGGACTCCATTCGAAACAGAATGCGCTGGTATCCCTGATGCTGCCAGTCGCGGATGGTCCATGCCTGACCGTGCTCACCAGTGCGCCCATTGGGATCAGTCACCCGCTGCCATTCCCGAAAAGAATTGTCTGGTAGATCAGGTACAGTTTCTCCGTGGTGCCATCGCTGAGGCTGTCATGCAGTGTAGATCCGCACCCACTCCTGATCCTGCCAGACCGAGTATTCGAGCCATGGGTGCTGCTTCGAATCCTCGATGTCCATGTCGAAGTAAGAGGCAAGGCGTATCGCGGGCTCCGATCCAGCTGATAGAAACAGATCAGGTACAGTTTCTCCGTGGTGCCATGCTGAGGCTGTCCTGCAGTGTAGATCCACCCACTCCTGATCCTGCCAGACCGAGTATTCGAGCCATGGGTGCTGCTTCGAATCCTCGATGTCCATGTCGAAGTAAGAGGCAAGGCGTATCGCGGGCTCCGATCCAGCTGATAGATGCACAACCATGTACAAGTAATGCAAGTGTGAAAACCACCCTTATTTTGTACGCTACCCCATCGCGTGCGTCTAGTCCTCATTTAGCTCGAAGATAGGTCTCGCCTTGGCTTTGCAGCTGTCGGAAGGATTAACAGGCCGGTATGGTTCGGAGACCCCAACCGTCTCCGATGGTGTGAGTCCACGTGATGCACGTACAGGTTGATGAAGTTGGGAAGCGTGACGTGCGCGAGCTGTCAGTTGTTGAGAAATCCCCTCTTGGAGACGAGTCAGTTCTTCGGTAGAGAAATCCGCCGCATCCGAGGATCTAAGGATCGCTTCTAACATCTGCGGTGACATACTCAATGCCGCGGATTGCGTGGCCACGCTGTGATGATCAGGAAAAGACATAGAATCAAAGTCATGACCAGCTTGAGGGGCAGCGACTCTCCGATAGCCCTCTGTGGCCCAGTCTCTTTTGTACCACATGGTGACATTGAGCTGCTCACCGTCTTGGTCCGGGTTGGGAGCATAGAACTCCCTCCACTCTCTATACGTGTGCGGTGGAGGTGGAGCATCATGTTCCTCATGTGGAGTCCATGATCCCGGATGAAAGATCTTGACCCACTGGGCATCTGGTTGTTGAGGATCCGGACACCATTCCAGCCACGGCATGACAACGCAAACCCGGAAAGACAAATTGATAGGTGTACGGCTGCAGACAACAATTACTGCAAGAGACACAACAACAACCACGCAAGCAATCACTTTTGCAGCAATGCACGGCTCAGGTGTTGAAGTCCATCTCCTGAATCGAATTGAATTGAATAGACTCCCCAGGAAGACGAGGACGAGCATCAGCCACCATCTGAGTTTGAAGATGCCGACGAAGAGGTCAGTCCAGCGTACATGAGGTCCGGTGAGCCCGAAGCGAAAACTGGACGCGCAATGCTAGGGTGTGGACGACCCAGCCGTTGATATCCTCTGGTGGCCCAGTCCCGATAATGCCAAGTATAGAAGGATGCATAAGAGACCGGCTGAGAAACAGCACCCATATTGGTGCCGCCCGTGCTCTCCCTCGGCCAATACACTTCGAAGTGGTATACTTTGCGCCACTCCCGATAGGTGGTTGAGTCCTCCGGGGCAGGCCCCAAGGTGTTTTCGGCGACTGGATGCCACGGACCCGGTACATAGATCCGAATCCACTCAACGCTTGTGTTCGCGGGGCCATTGACGATGTCGTAGTCAAAGTAGTGTGGCAGGGCCCATCTTGCAGCGCCATACATTGTAGAATTGAACATATCAACCAGGCAAGCCGCTCGAAGTCATAAAGGAAAGCGGCGAACACATGGAGACGGAACGCACAACACCAAGCAAGACAACCCAACATGGAATCGCATACAAAGCAAGCACAACCGCGTCATTTTATCCGACATGTTGCTCAAGTATCACTCCGAATCGTTCCAAGGATCATAGAATGGTGGTGGTGACGGCTCTCGCCACGCCCCATCCGGAACCGATGAGTCCACCGAGGAATTGGCGTCTGCATTCACGAGCATCGCGAGTCCAATGGCTGGTAAAGGAGCTCCAAGTCGTTGATACCCTCGTGTTTGCCAGTCTCGGTACTCCCACACGTGGTAGGACACATACGAACTGGGCGTGACAATGGGATCCGTTGTTGTTCCTCCGGTGCTGTCTTCGGACCAGTACACTTGGAAGCGATATGACCTGCGCCACTCCCGATACGTGGAAGCGTAGACCGGGTCGAGCACTGGAGCATCATCGGGAACGGGTCGCCACGTGCCCGGTGAGTAAATTCGAATCCATTCCACTCCTCTGTCGATCTGGTACTCGAAATATTGAGGGTTCATAGCGGCAAGACAGGCTCTCGCGCGGCCGCTAAAAGCAATCGAAAATCTGCGGCGAAGACACACATGCAATGACAACCGCGCGCAGCTGAAGGGATGCAAGGCAACTTTTCAAACTCAAGGTGAGACACAGCAGCGAGGTTTGTAATATACGACGCCTAAGCTTCACCGCCGTTGATGCCGCGCACACCTGCAATGATAATGTCCTGGTCGTCTACGATCACAAGGGGAAAGACATTTCCGCCCATGGCGCAGGAAGGCATGACAGTAATGCTTGCAATTTGCCGATGGGGACAGCGATGGACGGCCAGCACGTTTGGAGGGGAACACGGTAAAGGGCCGCCGAGATCTCCGCGGTGCAGAAGCGGATGCTGTCCGAGATCGTTTGGATGAACGCCCTGGACTGCGTAGCTCTTCATCACGGGAATGGTCAGTGCTGTAGATCGAGCGGCGTGTGCGCTGCGATTTCGATGTGGCAGGGCAGGATTGTCCGCGAGGAGCTGAGATCGAGGGGCTCCTTACTGAGGGCATAAACTGTGGGTGTAGAATCACCGGTGGTGGTGGCGGTGGAGCAGGCGGAGGTGGAAGAAGCAGTGGGAAACTTGGTGGGGGCGGAGGTGATGTAGTCTGCCGAATGGGTCTGTCAAGCAGGGCTCCAGGTCCGTGAAACTGTAACCACGTCGGCTGCGCTCCATGGGTCCAAGTAACGTACGTCTGTACGACTTGTTCCGACATGATTTGAGCAACTCAGTCATGCATTCAATTCACGTCAGCGGGAACACCCACAACGGCAAGCAATATTACCCTGGTAAAATGCCGGTCAAGTGCAAGCAAGCAAATTTCATGTGATCAATAATGACTACAATCCCAACCGTCGCAACAACCTGCAGCGCTAGCCGAATACACCGCCACGGCCTACCATTTAGTCCTCCTGTGGTCGCTGTTGCATTTGATGACCGGGTTCCTAGCCGCGAGCCTCAAGTTGCTGATAGACCTTCCATGCCTGCTTGACTTCCTCAATGGGCTTCTGAAGGAACCGAGCAATGGTTTTGTAGGTGGGCCTGGAATCCTTGTCTTTCTTCCGTCGCACCATCTCATCCAGCTCACCCTGTGTCCATGCCGTGA